GGAGGAGGAGGAAGACGAGCGGTCGTACGGTGCTGCTGCCTGTGGCGGCCGGACGCCGTTGCTGTCACGCTTGGCGCAGGAATCCGCATCGGCTGTGTGTGGTGGTGGTGGGCAAATGCATTTACAGCTGCAGCGCGCGGCGGTGGAGATGACGCGGCCTGCTGTGCTTCGGTCCGCGGACGTGTGAGGGGACCAGCTGCAGCAGCAAAACGACCACCTGCGTCATTAGCACCAGCACCAGCATCATTACCAGGCAGGCAAATGGATGGGCAGGCAGACAGATGGACGGACAGACGGACAAGAGTGGAGGACGCGGAATGGCGGGTTGTTGGTCCCACCCTCCGCGGAGAGTTGGAAGTCGGAGATTTGGGCATCGGGATATTGGAGTCGGAGATATTGAGCCCACTTCAAACACGTGTGAAGCCTCGTGACCCGAGCACGCGTGCACCCCCTAATCCCCAGCGCAGGAATTTGAACTCTCAGGACTGGGGGGGTGCCCAAACAAAACTACGTGGTGTGGCCAATCCTGGCGTCACCACAATCCGCATCGTGATACCGGTGGGGTGTTGGCCGTTGACATGGACGCTGAGGGGGAAGACTTTCTTTTGGGGGGTAGCGCCTGTTAGCGGTGGCCATGATGGCTATGATGATGGCGCTGGAGGTGAAAACGGTCTGTTAAAACAAAGGCATCGAGACCACCTCGCTGCCCAAGGAAGCCGCCGTTGGACGGCACCACAACAGCAGCAGCGCGTTACCGCCACTTCCGCCACCAGCGGCAACGGCAGCGGCGGCGGCGGCGCCTCCTTTGCACCCTTTTAGTAAACAAACACCCCTCACATCATACGGCCGCCTGGTCCCGGCCTTCTGTTACTTGTGTCGATTTGAGGACGAGCATGATGCGGCACCCGTTGTGTTTCCTCTCTCCTCCCGGAGACGGAGCTCTTCAAGCACCATTGCGCTAGGACAGTACCGCAGAGTCCATCAGGTTTCGGCGCTTCCCCCCTCTCCTCACTCGACCCAACCCAACCACCATACATACCCGAACCCTGAGGTGGCACCGGCTGTAGCGGTGTGACCTTTGATGGCCGGAGGCAGATGACGAACAGAACGGAGGGCAGGCAGGCAGGGACGGAAGGCAGGCAGGCAGGCGCACCTGTACCCAGGATTGCTAGCTAGCAGGGATGTGGATGTGCTGTAAGGGTGTGAGTATGTATGTACGTGCGTGTGCATGTGTGTATTGGGAGGAGCCATCCCTAACGCCGGGATGAAATACGCGTCGCGGCCTCGCACTGCAAAGGAGGGGCCCGGTGAAGTCCAGGCCAGGTCGGGGACCCGGTCGGGGACCGTGGGGGATACCGGACAGACGAACAGATAGTTACTTCAAAACAACTTGATTCCTGTGGCATTGCTACTAGTGAGGGTGGGGTTGGGTGGGGTTGGGATGGGGTCACAGCGGCTCTCGTGAATGCGGCCCCGGGGTCTTAACTCAATGGCCCTACTTCCGGACACGGCTATTTAAGGTGCTGATGTCCAGTACTTTATTGATGAGGGGCAGTTTGGCGGGATGGGGATTGGTAACGTGTGTTTGGGTGGATGGGTGCGCTACGTGACAGGCTGCTGACCGGGTGCTGAGGGCTTTCCGAGGAGCAGTTGGTAGCGACCTGACTGTCTATTTCCACCACCATATAGGCGACGGGTACTTGTATGGGTTTTTACTGGTGTTGGGTGATACATGTCCACGTCATGATGTCCTCCTGCACGCACGAAGACTGTTGGAGTCGAGCACCCTTGGTGGAGAGGAGGGAGGAGGCGGTGATGAGCAGCGGGGGAGGTGCATTCTTGATGCAGCACACCTTCCGAAGGGGCAGCAGGCGGCCGTCCCCGTCCGACGTCTGGTAATGGAAATTTTCTGCATCCCGGCATAATGAATTGAAGTGTGTATCAGCTTAATATATATGTATGTATGCATGTATGTATATATATGTGTGTGTTTAGTTGGTGTTTGATTTTGTGACACCGGCACTTGCTTCCAAGCGCCAATGGGGCAGCACCGGCCTGGACGAACCCGGTGATGGGTTGGCTTTTGTATGTGGTGGGCGAGGAGGAGGAGGAGAAACAGGAGGGGTTGATGTTTGACGTGTCGGGTGCTGTCCTTCCCCTCTGATGCGATGCTGATTGCCCATGCATTTTAGTCTACCCCTTGCGGACATTAATAATAATAAGAGGGGGAATAGGGGTTCGTAGGGAAGGGAAGGGAGGAAGAGGGTACGTGTGTATGTATGTCTGTGATCAGTCGTATTAGAAGGAAACCCTGTGCGTGTGTGTTGTGTATGCCATGGCAGCACAGGGCCAAGGTAAAAGTGCTCCCGAAGGCCGAAGACACCACTTGCTTTCAGAGGACACACTGAGAGAATCCCGCCCATTACTAGATAACGCAAGAGTCTGGCGGGGAGGTACAGCCCTGGCATGGCCACCACAATAGCGTCATCGTCCGCTTCTTCTTTCCCTAAAGTTCAAAGCAACGTTTGCCACCAGGGCATTTTGTAGCTCTAGAACCTGTTTCGACCCGCACAGCCGGTCGTGGACCGGTCCATTTCGTAGGACATTTCGTAGCCGTTGCAGGTGATGTCATGTCCTGCTGCGCTCTATGGACTCTAGATTTGGAAAACGGCGCTCATTCCGATGGATGTCACATGTGGAGAAGACGGCAGAACTGCAGCAGCGGGGCAGGCTGAGCACTGTCCCCGTCACCAGCTCCAAGGAGTGCTCTCGCATGTGCGGTAATTCTGCGGCCTTGTGCTGCTAAGGCTATGGGTGTGGCTGCGAAGCCCTCCTTCGCTCGGAGCCAGATAAGATCATTTAATTTAAATATAACGACGTAAGTCTCTCTGTCTTGTGGCGCTTGGCTTCCCGCTGAGACATGCACCGGGGTTGAGTCCGCCAGCCTGAAAACGCCTATCTTAGAACCGTCACCGTCTCCACTTCCTCCTCTCGCACTCCTTCCCACCTTCCGTTGCCATCTCCCCTCTCGTCTCCCTCGTCTCTTAACCCGCGCCGCTGCAACACAATCAAGTATGTCATGTCGACCGCATTAGGGGTCCGTAGGGAAGGAACTGGCAACGCGTCCCGCCCCCTCCCTCGGCCCCCTCCCGCCTCCGCCTCTGCCTTTGCCTCCTGTGATAACAAAACGGCGACCGCCCCAAATGTCACATCAAGCACCCGTCACCTTGGGGCCCCGAAACCGGCTCGCCACTCTCCGACACCTTCGTAACGGTCAATTCTTTTCCTCCTGCTGCTGCTGCTGCTGCTTCAGCATCTGCTACAGCTTGCGTCAATGCCGCCACCGCCGCCTCCGCCTCCTGTAACGCCCTCTCGCGTGTCGCTTCAGCAGACCGCGACCGCGCCGCTGCGGCGTTCCGCGCATTTGCCACCGCCGCCTGCCGTACCGCTGATGCCTTGCACGCCTCCGCCAGCGCCGTCAGGTATTCCTGCTCCAGCGCCCGCCGCCGCTGCGCCTCCGCCTGCCTTAAGTTCGACCACGCCCTCTCGCTCGCCTTCCTCGCCTCCGACAGGCGTTCCGCCGCCTGCATCGCCGCCTCCGCTGCCGCTAGGTGTCGCGTGAGGAGCGCCTGATAGGCCTTCTCCGCAGCCGCACGTATACCATCCCCATTCGCTGCACGAGACTGCTGCTGTATTTTGTGCTCAAGCGCATGCGTGCGCATGACTTCCGCCGCGTGCATTCGTGTCTCAGCGCTTTCATGCCGCTGCACGGACGCCTTTGCACATGCCTCCGCGGCGTGCTGCGCTGCAGCCGCCGCGTCATCGTAAACTGCATCGGCGGCGGTGTGTGCGTGCACCGCCGCTGCCGCGCGGCTCTCAGCCACTGCGCCGCGTGCCGCCTGCTCCGCTTCCAGCTGCGCCTCCGCAGCTTGACGAAGCTCCAACAGGGCCTTGGCGTGTGCAGCCGCCCCGTCACGGGCTGCCATGCCTGCCTCCATCCATACCCTCTCCGCCTCTTTGGAGCGCTCCTCCGCCTCCGCCAACATCCTAGCTTGACCAGCATCTCTCGTTCGTTCCGCTTCTATGAGGTTTCTCTCAGCCACGTCCCTCACCTGCTCTTTGGCACACACATTAGAGACGTGAATCTCACGAGCCGCTCTCACCGCGTGGTCGAGATCCACCGACGCCGCCGTACAGGCCGCCGCAGCTAGCGCATGCTCCGCGACGTGCGCGTCCGCACATACACGGTCAGCATCCCTTCCTTGAGCTGCTGCGGCGTGCCGCGCTGCTTCCGCAGCCACTCCCCGCGCCTGCTCCGCCAAGCGAGCTACTTCCGCCGCGTCACGGAATGCCTTCTCGGCAGCTTCCACTCGCACCGCCGCCGCCGCCCGTCTCCTGGCGCCCGCATCCCGTTGGGCCGCCAGGGCCTCCTGAAGCCCGGCCTCCACCGCCTGCCGTAACATAACCATCCCATGAGCTCGCGCCGTTGCAGAGGCATTGGCCTCCGCTAGCGCCTTTATGTGAAGCCCCTCCGTGTCCCTCCTCCGTGCCGCTAACGCCGCCTGCGCTTCGGCCGCCAAACCTTCCCCTGCAGCTACAGCTACCTGTTCCGGCCGCTCTGCCTCCGCTGAAGCCTCCGCCAGCTCCCCCAACTGGGGCCTGGGGAGTCCTTCCGCCGCTGCGCGCGCCCGCGCTAGGGCCACCTCCGCCGCCGCTGCACGCGCTGCAACCGCTGCGCTGACCGTCTGCCGTACCCGCTCCCGTGCCGCCGCTGCTTCTGCCACCAAGTTATCAGCACGCATCCGTGCCACCGCTAGCGCTGCCGCCAACGACCCCCTGGCCGCCAATGCCTCCGTCTGTGCACACGCCAATTCAACATCCGCAGCCGCGGACCGCGCCGCCTCGAGGGCCATGGCTTCGACGTCGAGCCGCGCGCGAGCCGCCGCGATGCGCTCAGCGGCAGCCCGAAGCAACGGCGCCGTCTCATCACGCGCCTCGGTGGAGTGCTGTTGCTGCTGTTGGAAATGCCGTTGCCTTGAGGTGGTGCTAGTGGCAGCGGCAGGTGCGCTGGCGGCGGCGGTGGCGTCAGCAATGGAACTGGGAGAAGTTGCGGCCTTAAGGTCGGTGCGGGAGCTAGCAAGGACAGCAGTCGATGTTTGCCTTTGTGGGGCCCGCCCGCCGAGGGGTAACCCGATGCGGTCGACGGCATTGCTGACATGCGTCTTGCTGCCGGTAAAGGCAGCGCTTTCAAAGGCGGAGGAGGACTCCTTGGAGGTGGCGATGGAAGTGGAGTAAGAGTAGGAGGAGCGCGGGGTGTGGTGGTCTGGCAAAAGGGTGCGAATGTTGTTGGGCCGATACGTTGGGAAGGAAAAGGACAGCTCCGGACAGAGCTCCGGCATGCGGAGCGGGCTTCGCGGGGCATAGGGAGGGCGGAGTAAATCCAAGTTTTGCGTGGTGTTACCAAATCCGGGTACTTGTTGGCCGGTCTTAGCTGGGGGAAGTTGGACTGTGTAGGTGGCCCAGCTTGTCTGGGGGAGGTCCAGCTGCCGTGGGTCCTCAAGGCGCCGGAGTGGCCACGAGTCGGTGCCAGCTCCCGTGGTGAGCATTTGATTTTAATAGCTGTATAATGATGTGGAAGGCTTAAAAGGCGTGGGCCTGGATCAAGACTGCGATGCAACCATGCTTCCTTTGGGGATACCGCCGTCGCCTGTACTTGACAGGACTAATAGCGTCGAGTGAAGTGAATTTTTGTTCAATTAGTTCAGAGCGGCGCTTTAGATTGCTCCTAACTAAAGGAGGTGTACGCAGTCGCAGACCGCAGGCGACCAACCGCGATGCAACGTGTGCACACCTACAAAGGTTGATGGCCTTGTAAAATTAATTAAATCAGGTAAAGTAATCAGGCCATAAGCTTTCTTGGCAGCGGCGTGATTTGTCATAGTAACCGCCGTGATGGGCATGCAAAACGCACTGCTATCGATACTCCTGAACCTAGCAATTTGTTATGTGATGCTGAAAACGTATTTCCGTGTCATTTAAATGGGTATACTAATCGCACACAATCTCTTTTGGAAAGCGTTGTGAATGTAGGAATCAAACTTTGACCAGTCTTGATTATGCCTGGGATAGGAAAGCCATAATAAACATGCCTGAAAATAAAAGGAAAAATGATTGATGGTGTTCAATACCTGCATTTTCCTTTGCAACCCCTACCCTTTACGCGTTAACTGGGCATCGGTCGGAACTTCAAATTGATTACACTTCTGATGTACATGCTGTACTAACCTCATTGTAGGTAATACAATGTAGACAACGAATTGTCGGAACTGTGGAATCGCGGTGCGGGACCAAAAACATCCGGATACGAACTACTGAACGGTTGAAGTTTGCGATGGATATGGAAGCTGACATAGGGCAGGACGCAGACCATAAATAGTTTCCATTCCATTTGATGCTGGTGCGTGGTGGTGGTGAACCCGGAAAATGGGGACGCTGACATTGCGCATATAAATGTATTTGAGAGCTTTGCAACTGCCTTGAACAGGCTTGAGGCATAAAAGTAAAACCATGTCCATTTTGCCTAATATCCACCTCGTTGTCTGTAGTCAGTTCTAGCCGCCCACCACATAGCCGCTGTTCACCGCTATAGCGCCGCTTCTTTACAAATGTACCATCATCGGCACAGATCATACATACATATATACATACATACATACACGTTGAGTTGATACACGCTTCTTGCACGCTCTCGGTTAGGTGCCCCTGGGCAGTGTCAGGCCCGGTCAGGTACTCGGGACTGTGTTGACCAGGTCCACATTGCCGGCGGCCACACCATGACTCATCGTCACAGAACTTTGTTACCTGCTTCTATCTGTTATTCTGACATGTACGCTAGCTATTCACCGCCGTCAGGGGTTGCAGTCCGATGCTCCTGCACACAAGCATGATAACTAATGTAATGTTTTTTTGTTCTTTGCCCTTCTATTTGTTTTCAATGCAGATGTATTTTAGCAATGAGTGTCGAGGAGGCAGAGCAGTCTCTTGAAGCTGTTTCAAGCAGCAGCCAGACCCCACGACCAATGGATGTCGAGCACTGGACCAGATCACCTAGCAGCAGATCAGAAAGTGAATTCCTGTCAAGTTTTGTGTTGGTTTTCATGTCAGGGTTACAAATAGGCTGGTTGGGTGCTCATCAAGAATTGCATGGTTTTGCGACATCGTGTTAATTGTGTGCTTCAGTATAGCAACCTGTCAATATTTATTCCACTAAGCCTATTTGTCTATAACTTAATTGACTGACACATGTCCCGCTGCTGCTGCACTCAACCACCCCTTGGACATGGTGAAGCAATGGGCCACAGATGTGGGCGGTGGAGATTGCAACAGCCATGATGACAGCAAAGGCCGCCTCAACGCGCAGCCGTTCTGTGCCTGATGTCGTCTTAACTGAAGCGGATATCCCCTCATGGAAACAAAGGCGAAGGGGAAGGGGGGCAAGAAACGACTGTGGTCATGGATGCACGTTTATTTTCGGACGAATGCACATGTAATGTGATGGACAGCTGCAGGGTCTCCTTTTGTGGAGACTGATTTGTTTAGGACTGAAGGCGCGTTCATATCACTTGATGGGCATGTCTTGTTTTATGGAGACGGCTATGTTCAGGATGGAAGGTGCATTCATATGACGTAGGGTTTGGCACTACTGGTAAGGCGCGACCATTGCCCCCGGGAGATCCCGGGATCCATACCCATTAGGGTCAAAAGTCCTTCCGATGGTGGAAGACATTGCGCCCCTAGTTGATGGACGGTGGTGACCTGGGATAAAGTTAACCCGCGAGCCAACCAGGAATGGAGTTGGGCCGCTGTCGACCCGGCAGATTCCGTAGGATGCTGGTGGTGGGTGGGGAACCTGAGCGATCCACTGAGAAGTTGACTAGGGTGACTGGATGAGGGTGCCCCGAAATACCGGGGAAGCCAGGGTTTCGCAGGGTAGCTGCCAGGGTTGGACAGGACCTTCCTGAAATGGTCGGGTTGCCGGTTTTCCCCTTCCCATGCCCGTCGGCCCCACCCGATAGCGTTTTTGCATATCTTTCAATTTCTGTCGGGTGCCCCGATAGCCCATCCCAAAACCTGTCGGGTGACGCAAGAACGAAATTTCGCTGTGTGCCGCTTGAAATTACATTTATTCGTATTTTATATGCGCAGTTTCCAGTTCTCAGTTTGCAGTTCACAGTTCTGATATGCACGAACACACACACACACACACACACACACACACACACACACACACACACACACACACACACACACACACACACACACAGCAACACATGCACGCCTGCACGTCTGCCTGTGAGCATCATAAAGAAGAAGAGGCAACGAAGTGGACGAATGCTACCACTACATTACATATTTCCATCCAGTTATATTTTTATGAATGCCATTATGTATCGCTGTAGCTGTCCGTCGCCGAAGGGCCCACCGACGACCCACGGCACCCGATCGGGCGGTCCTAGCATCCCTAACCCTGTCGGGTCCCCCGACGGGAGCCCTCCGGGCCCCGTCGGAGGCTCCCGATGGCCGTTTGGCATTTTCCCCCTTTTTCGTCGGGTCCGCCCGAAAGCATTTTTCAAAGCCTGTCGGGATTTTCCCTGGTAGCTGCCACGGGCGAAGATACACCCCCCTGTTTCACACATCATAACACGTGATGGGCATGGTTCATTTCATGGAAACTGCTTCGTTTTGGAATGAAGTTGCCTTCATATCACTTGATGGACAGGGGCTCGTTTCATGGAGACTGTTTCATTTTGGAATGAAGGGGCGTTCAAACCGTAGGGAGTGTTCATTCTGAACTCCCTTCATTCTGTAATGAAGACGTCTTCATTCCAAAATGACAGGGTGCCCTCAATTTGGGTTGTGGAATGAAGGGTCAAAATGATGGGATGGAATGAATGTGAATCGAATATAGAATGAAGGCTCCGGGTTTCCAGAGTGAGATGATGGTAGGTGGCCTCTCCAACCCAGCGCCGCGTAAGTGGTCGTATCACGTACATGTGAACATCGGCGGGCGCCGGGTGACTGTAGATTCGTGGTTATTATTGCCACGTCTCTCTCGGTGGGGGGACGGCAGATTAGAACCCCCCACTGAAGGCGCCGCCCCCTTAACACTTGAATAGAGTTATTACCAATATACCTTCCGTGGCCACTGCTGACTTAATCAGTATTCGGTTGCGGTTACATACACACATACACATACCGATATACATACACACAGACCGGTGGTCATGCCATGGCTTCGGTACTGTAAGAGCCTGGCTCAGGACTTAAGATATTTCCGAGTAGGGACTCCATTCCCTCTTATCATTCCATCGTCGAGGCACATATCGTACACACAGTACATACAACTATCCAAGTAATCTTTTCGACTATAGCCGTACTAAACACTACATGACTACGGCTATGACTGTATCGATCCATACACGTACTCGATTCCATACACGATCTTGCACACGTCTGCCCGTTCACGGCCAGACCTGGAAGGTGCGACTCTCTTCTGCAGGAATACCTACTATTGTACGGCATCTTATCCCGAGCGCCTCCGACGGACTGCAAGCGACTATAAAACCCCAAGGGAAACCCCCGGTGTTTATCAACACCTTCACAAGTGGTCCAGTCGCTAAATCCGTCTAAACAACCAGGTAGGCTCTCACAGGTACTCACAGCAAGGAAGTCGATTCGGGCGTTAATGATACGACAAAATTGCCCACTCAGTTGAGACGACATTAAGACAACATAGTAGTAGTTCACGAAAACACAGCATCATAACACGGCGGATGCTTTGCAGCATCGTGATCAAAGCCGCCGCGTGATAATGTTTGCCTATTATTATGCAGATGGAGGCAGAAAAATGCCCAATTACGATGATGCGGATTCGAGCTCGATGCAAGTTCATCCATGCGCTGGCTGCACTCCACCAGGCTGCTTCCGGTCCCAAAGCCGTTGAGGATGATAAGGCCCGTTTCGGCTGGATGCACGTACGTGGGGTCCAAGGGAAAGGAGGGGTGATAGATGACAAAGTGGCTGTGTCCCTGGACGGTGCCTGGGGGATCGGGTTCGTGGCACCATGTCCGGTGCTCAACTGTGGTGGGATGATGGGTGGCTTAGGGTGTCGTGACGGCGTCGTGATTGGTAGCTTGTCCATTGAAGGTTAAGGCGGCTTGGTTTGGGCCAGGTCTTACTGGTGCTCCCCTGGGGGAGGCTTGGGCGACGGAGGTAATGGGGGTGAAGGTGGCAGAGGCGATGGCGATGGTTGTTGGGGTTGGAGAGGCTTGGGTAACGGAGGTGATGGGGCTGATGGAGGCGCGGGCGGCTTGGGCGATGACGATGAAGCTGGCGATTTGGGTGGAGCAGGTTTGGGTGACGGAGGTAATTAGGGTGATGGAGCGTGGGCCGGCTTGGGCTATGGCGCGAGTGATTTGGGTGGATGAGGCTTCGGTGACGGCGGGGATGGGGGTGATGGAGGCGCGGGCG